AATCAACGTCTTAACGGACTCGGAAGTATTCACTACTCGTGCTAAAGACAATTAAATCAAATATAATTTCACCTGTGTCGGAAAGCGGAGGTAAGTGTGTGCATTTTCATATGATATTGCGCTTTGACTGCCATCTAATAATCTGGTAATTATCAGAAGCATGAGCAGAGCTGTTCAAATCTGTTTTAAGCGCCTGAGATTTACGAGACATATACATGTACATAATAGTACATGGAATTCAAGAGTTTTTTATGCTGACAGAAGGTTAGTTTTATTATCATTTAAGATTAAAGCCGTTTAACACCTTCATTGCAGATTATCTTGTAGTAACCTTAACTATATACCTTTTTTTTGCAGAACATGGATACCATTAATACTAATAACAGCACCGAAGGCACATGTCTACTTTGTAAACTTGTTGATAGTACCGATCCGATAGTAGCTTCAGTTCAAGGTTTCTTGGGTTTAGTTTCCGCAGCTATCAATATTTTAACAGCCATTGCCTTGATTCGAACAGAAAACATCAAAAGAACGTTAAAGATATGTCTAACAATTCTGACAATAATGGATACTCTATCTGGAATTGGCTTTATTTACCATTCGTTTGCTTTGTACTTTATTATACAATACAAACTGGAGTGTATTACTCGTTATTTTATTATATCCTGTTTGGTTGGCTTGTCTATGGTGACAATTGTGACAATGACTTTAGAAAGACTTCTGTCGATTTTTTTACCTCTTCGACACGACCAAATTCTCACTAGAACCAAAATAACAATATATTTATGTAGTCAGTATGGGTTTGCAGTGATGGTTTCAGTGATAAGCCTTTTCTTTCAAAACGAAGACTTTCAATTTTGTAGTTACTTGAATATTAATTCGGCTAAAGCTTTCCTGATACATGGTATACCAACTGTTGCAACATTACTGCTTACTTGCATAGGTAATATGGTTATATTTTGTACTACACGCTCACATATCAGAGCAATAGCCTCCTCAAATAGGATAGAGAACACAGACGTGGAAAGTAAGATGAATTTTAAAGCCACCGTAACTACAGTATCGGTGGTTCTACCATTTCTTATTAGTTATTTACCTCTTGGAATATTTTGTATTTACTTGTACCTTCATCCAGTGGGAAGAACAGTTATGACCTATCATTTTGCAAATGGGGTATTTTCCTTAACCATTATTAATGGTATTATAAATCCTTTAGTTTATTCTTGGAGACTTCCAGAATTACGACTGTCATTGAAACGTCTAGTCAAAAGACCGTGACTGTGGTCTATAAACATAATATCAGTGTAAGTTATCAAAGGAACCACGAAAAACGAATGAAATGAACGGAGTTTTACGTCCTACTTTTCTGCATCATGTGGGCTAATGAAGACGGGCAACGCCAGCAGGGTGCGATGAGGGAAATTTTGCCAGGACAGCGGCATTAGCCTGCTCTTTTTCGATTTCCAGCTGTCGAGGGATCTTTAACGTGTACAGCCTGTAGCACACGGGGCATCGGTTTATTGTTCCATCAGCCCCTCTTACCTGCATCACTGGAAACCGCGTTAAAAAATCCGAAAAAAGGAACCATGAAGAGAATGCAACTAAACCTTGTCCATAAGAAGAGCCACCAGTATAACAAGAATTATTTGTTTTTTTTCATAGGTCGAAAACATTTTTTGCCCTAATTTATGAAAACCACGTGTTTGATAATAAAAAATTTGCATAATGACCCTTTCAATGCTCCAAATATAAAAATGTAGTCTACAAAATAGATCCCAGACGTTAAATCTGTCGCATAGTTTTAATGAAGGATAAAAGTGTCACTAGCGTAAGACTATTTAGCAATCTAAGGTGGTTCACATTTCTCTATAATGTAATGAGATGAACAAATAAAACTGCGACCAAAGCTGTAACAGTTTAGGAACAGGACGATTTTTTTACCATCGACTTCTAAAAAAAATACCTGGTGCCGTGAACCCTACTTGCCAATTCTGTGCCCTTACTGGGCTCTTTCACCTAAAGATTCGTGGAAATACCACTACTTTCATATCAAAATCAAACATGTCTAAGTACTCGTGTAGAATTATAATTATAAGTGTGAATAACAATAACTGTGAAAAAATATAGGATTGAAACTAGCCACAATACTGGAGGATTACCCATTTCCATAAAAATTGAAAAGAACTCTAAATCTTTTGATTTATTTGTACTATTGATTGAGAACAACATCCGTTGAACCATTGTAATTGTGAACACTCAACAAGAATGATACTATATACTTATATGAACATAGTCTATATTGTTTTCTTTATAATTGTGTAAATTTCTTGCGTACAATGCCAAGTGCGTATGCGTCAAATAAGGTTACATCGATTTATAAAAGGTACCCAACCATTAGTCCTCGATGCGTGATTAAATTTTGTCCATATTTTTTCTATACATCATCACCATATGAAAAGGACAAAAATGTGTTGTCAAATAAGAATATTCTCGGCCGTTTTCCCATCTCTTTACTCAAAGCGAGCGCGTTTCTCCGGTCAAATGGAAAAAGTTTTGGTATTGACCATGCAAAACATTTCAAATTACGAAAGGGACACGGGCTTTTATTAGGATAAACAATCAACTCTTAGATATTATAATGACAGTTATTAAGCTACTGTGACGTTTCGGTAAATTATTCTACAACATCTGGTAAGTAGAAAAAACAAATTCAGTTCAATCAACTTTAATTGTTATAGTAGGTTGACGCCCGGGTCAATGTTAAAACCCCAGTCACACAAGCGGCGATATGAAATTTTTCGAATACGGTCAGAGCATAGCGCAGCTTTCAGCAATGAAACATTTTCCGTTGTGTCAGTTTAAAACTCAACTCTCTGAGGTGCCAATCTGTGTTTTTGTTTACCGTAAAGTGATTTTTGTTGCTGCTGTTTATTTAAATGATAATTGGGCTATTTTAAGGTGCCAAATTCAAGTACACAATAGCCAGAATCATAAAAATTCCCAGAAGTGGGATTAAAAGAAGGCCAGTCTGGACCTGAACTGGCTCCCGATGGAAACATGGCAATGTTACTGCACATATTATATTCTGCCATGTAGGTCATAACATTGAATTTTGAGCAATCGAATTGAATTTCAAACAGATAGGATGAAAAGACCAGAAAAGTAAGTCTGGATACCTTATGTATAGTTATGAATAAAATTATTAAGTCCTTCCGGAAATTCGATTCTCCGTTCTTTTTTTAATTCACGGATAGCCTTTTAATATGATCTGACCTTTCACTAGAATACTTTCTAATCAGATTAGCACTAGTATGTTTGTTGATATTTAAAACCTCATTGACGTTATTCCAATGTTCTATCTTTTTTTTTTATCTCCTAAGATGCTTTTCTTACAACATCCATATTAATTTCCGGAGATTATTTGGCACCCCTATGCCAGAAAACTTATTTTCCCGAGAATCTTTTCAGTGGCGGGGCCAAGTTTACGTCTGAATGGGGGCGAGATATCTTAGATTGCCCGAATCTCTAACGTGGTTATGAGATTTTTGCCCGAAAAAGTTGCTTTTGGAGGAAGGAAGGATGGGCGGGGGGGGGGGGGGGGGGGGGGGGGGGGGGTTTGCCCCAAAACCC